GAAGTAAGTCCATCTGAACTCATTAGATCTTACTTCTGAGTTGACATGTATAGAATTACCGTAATTTTCGCTCCATAACACGCACTTTTTTGCTCCTAGAAAGTAAGGGAAAATGCCTGTGCGTGTTATGGGGCGAATGCACTGGACCGGAGCCATGGCTGCCGTCAGTTAAACGAAGCGGGAGCCGCTTGCAAGGCTTCTGTCTCGCTTTGCACGGCTCTAGCTTTGCCTGCTTTACAGCCAGGAGGAGGGGCTCTCTGAAAGTAAGCAAAGCGAGAGCCGCGTACACGCTCTACGAGGCTCTCGCTTTGCTTGCTTTAAAGCGACCTACGGAGGAGCCGGGGAGGAGGGAGGGAAGGAGAGGCATGGCAGAAAAGCAGGCAGCAGCCACTTACACGGGAGGAGGGATAGACGGGAGCCATAGTGAGCCGGAAGGAGGCAGGCAATTCAAAGCCAGCAGGCGCTTTTAAAAGCGTTGCGTAGCCAGCAACAGCTGCTGCAGCCTCAGCTAGCAAAGGTCTGCGCGCTCTCTAAACGGAGCAATGAGGCTGCGCGCCGGGGACAGGAGGGCATGGGATGAGGGAGAGGGGGAAATTACGCGTCCCCAGCGATCCGCTGGCTCCTTCAGTGCGCCGGAGACAGGAGGGCACGGGATGAGGGAGAGGGGGAAATTACGCAGAATAGACTGGATAGGTTTGAGCACATGAGCAGGACTTGGATTGCAGGGGATTCTCCATTAGCTGTGTAAAGCAGCAAAGAGGGAGAGAAGAGAAGGAGCAAAGCAGGAGAGGAGAGGAGCTGCTTACACTGCTGTCCGGTTGGCTCCTTTAAAGCAACAGTGCTCTTTCCGTCCCTCCTCCCCGCTCAGCTCGCGGAAAAGCTCCTTCTCCACACACCCCACGCGAGCTCCTTCTCCCCTTAAACCCTCGCCTGCATTATTAGAAGCATCCTTCTTCACACACCCCACGCGTGCTCCTTGTCCCTTGAGTGCTTTCCCTTCCCTCCCCACTTAAAACGTGGTTACAAAGCACGGATCCACATGGATCCTCAGGATTTTTGAATTGGGCTACCCCAAACTCACCATCAGATCACATGTCTGTGGCCACAGCATGAAGCACAAAAATCATACATCCACTGTTTCGTTTAGAATTTTTTTCTTGTTTTCCTCCTCTAAAAACTACATGCGTGTTATGGTCTGGTGCGTGTAATAGAGCGAAAAATACGGTACACATTTACTTGTTTAAGGGTGGGTGTTTGCTTTGGCTAAAATTGAGAGAAATCAGGAGATGGGATGTGAGGATTAAATTAAATGCCTCCTCCTAATTTTCCATCCAATTCAGGCACTTATCTTTCATTGCTTTTGGCAATAAATAAAGAAGAAGAGCTCTAATGCAACAGTGCTTTGCTAGGAATGTTGTTCAAAAACCATTGCTACAACAGGGTTTCTGAAACAGCTGCATGGTTCTGTTAACTGTTACCATGCAAATTATATGTGGCAGGGATGTTAAAAACAATTACGCTACAAGGATGAAAGTAAGCTATATAAACAATAAGCAGCAAACAATAAACACAGTTGAAAATGTATTACTTCTTTAAAAATCAGTATTGAAAAAGGCATGACCAGAATTTTCTCCTTTCCATTCCTTCATAAAGTTGTAAATTTAGGTTAATTTATTCCCAGAAGTCAAAGGAGCTGGTAGGGAATTTAGGAATAATTATGCTTTGTTTGGATAACCAATCATCTAACATACTATTTCTTATGGGTCATAAATCAAACAACCTTTGTGTATTGGTGAATATGAAACATACACCATTTGCATTCTTTTCACTTGCAGAGAAAAAGAAGGCATTTCATTGAAATAGCTAAACACAAACTTTTAACCGTGTGTTATTTCTTTACCCTGTGAGACTATTTACATTTTTACTTGTTTGGTTGCTCCAAAATGTAGAACAGATTTAATCATTGGAGGGAAATAAGAGGGAGTCCTGACTCCTAACCAACTTTGTTTTGCAGAATTATAAAAAAAAAACCTAGACAAAATTTCCATTTTTTATTGCATAGAACTTACGAAGAACCATTATTATTTTGGCAGTGAGGCAGTGAGACCCAAGCATGTTTACATAGAGAAAAATGTGTATTTAAGTAGACAAGTAACCAATTGTGCTCTCCACAGAGCTGGAAGACATGGCTTTGTTTCTTTTGTGACCAGTCCTTTTTTTTTCTTTTAAAAAAATGCTTAGGAGTACTCTCATTTTCCTACTCATATTGAAATACTATCCCCCCAATGAGGCCAAACTTAGATTCACAGAATGTTTAGGGGTATGCGTACCCCCAGGAAAAAACACTGTTTGTGAGTAACATGGAACCTTATACACATCAGAAGCTGGATTACTAATACCGTAGATTCTGGCGTATTAGGCAACTGGGCGTATTAGACGACCCCCCCAAATTGGCAGCTGCAATTTGGGGGTTCGTCTTATAAGCCCAGTCGCCTAAAACGTTGGGCAGCTCTGCGCTAGGAGAAAGCCGCCCGGCACGGAGCAGAGCCCGCCACCCCTGCTGCCGCTTCCGGGGTTAAAAAGTCGTCTTCTACGCCGGAATCTACAGTAAATAGTGTATTTTCCTCAGTGAATAACATGAAAATAACTATATTTCCAAAGTTCAGATCTTACTGTTGATCATTTTGCAGTTAAAGTAGCAACATCCTCAAAGATTATCTACAAAAACATTACAAGCTGTATGAATGTTAGGAGAATGCACGACTGAAAGAAACACGGCAGCAGTAAATTTATTGTAAGACATATGAGAATAAGCGATGTTTAATGAAATGATGAAACTTGAAGTAATATTATGTTCAAGCTAAATAGTTTAATTTATGATAAAACCATTTAAAAGTTGGAACAGAATATGTGAGATTTATAAAATAAGAATGGAAGTATGGTAACAAATTGCTGCATATAACTATATGATTGAGAACGCAGGGAAGGGTGATGTGAGGAAGTCCAAAGATTATGAAAATATGACTTATGAACAATTTTATTTTACTTGTATTTTCTTTTCTCATCTTTTTTTTCTATCTTATAATCTTACTTTGTTCTTTTTTGTTTGTTATATGGTGATGGTACTTTATATGCTTGGTGGTTTGTTTGTTGTTTAAAAATTGAAATAAATATCTTTTTTTTTAAAAAAAAAGTAGCAACATCCACACACAAAAGGGAGATATCAACAGGGTTGGAGAAACCCAAAGATTTGCAAACATGCATACATTTATTTATTTTTTGGCAGGACGGCCCAATGAGTATTGAGCATGCTCACAGGTAATAGAATGGAATATTTGTTTTATTTATTAAGTGAGGGATACACCACCTTTGAAGGGCACAGTTGTCCTCCCAATGGAATGTATTCTGATGATGATGATGCATCCAATTTGGTGCCATTAGGGCTGGGATATAAATTCAGGGCCCCAAACCATGAGGCCCCCAAAATTGCCAGAGACAGTGGCAGTAGATGAGGGCTTAGGTGGGCAGCTCATTGGCACTCTCAGACAAGGAAGATTGTAGGTTTGGTTGGCACTTCTCTGAACAATTCATCAAACTGCCTGACCCAAATTGTAAATATTTAAATGGGGGGGGGGAGAGAAAGGGGCCATTTCTAATGTTTCTTTCCTCTAATGGAGGAAGCAGAGCGTCCAGGGCAACAGCAGGCGGGTGGGAAGGGAGAAACTGCCAGCAGAGAGGGGAGAGCAGTCAGGGTGTAATGATTTAGGAATAATTATGCTTTGCCAGAAGGCATCTTGTTCAGGGCCCCTGAAGCTTGGCAGTGATCAGGGAGGAAGGCATGGCTGACTAAGGAGAACACTGAATGGGAGAACTCCACAATGCAGCACCAAAGCAAGGTTTCCTAAGCACTTCATTGGCTGCTTGATGAGTTTATGAAGTTGTAATTGATGCCAATTCAAATCCTTAGGCTCGTAGTCAAGAAATATCTATCTATAATCTCAATGTATTAATCATCAATTAATAAATTAGTAAAAAGTTAAATATCTCTTAAATACAGAAATTCCTCATTGGCAAGTATTGTGAGAAGTATTGTTTTGCTTCCTATCATGCTGTGTATTTTTGTGTTTTTATATTGTAAACCATCATGTGATCCTTGGGTCAAGGGCGGTACAGAAGTTTAATAAATAAGAATAAGAATACACGCTGGAGCTACATTTTTGAGGCTCATAGTTCTTGATTATTATTTTTTGCACTATATTGTACATCATAAACTTCTTTCCCACCTCAGGCCCTTTTCAACCCGTAGGTCTTTATTCCGCCCCCCACCCCCACCCCGCACTGTTTCATTGAACCCAGGGAGTCAGTATTGACCACTTGGGGGATCCTTGGCGTTGAGAATATGTACAGAGAGCTGTGTTTCTTTAGCCGTCCTTCATCTCTTAGGGGACATAATGCATTTGTGCATACTATGTTTGTTTGTTTTGGGGGTTTTTCTTGAAATGAAATTAAACAGCAAATTCCAGGAGTAATACCAGTGAACACAACATGAACCTGATTGCCAGACTGGAAATCAACTTGTAAAAGAAATTTTATTCTATATTATTTCCTATACCTGCATTTATTTACTTGCAACTGAAAAACATTGTAAGAAAGATTATTTTTTAGTACAGGTGGCCCCGCAGATGTTGCTGAACTAGTCTTCCCGTCATCTCTGGCCATTGGCCACGCTGGCTAGGGCTGATGGGAGTTGAATTCCAGCAACATCTGCAGTGCCACAGTTTCCCCATCCCCGCTTTAGTATCTAATCTCCTCTGAAATGAATACAGTGTTCTCTCTTTTAGGGCTAATCTCTAGCCCAAATGAAGCCTCAGACAGATGGAAGTTCAGTATATTAGAGAAATGCAGCCAAAGCAGACATTTTACCAAAATCTAAATGAAGCATCATAATACCAATCATCCCACCATTGGTGGTCACTGATAACACATTATTATAATTTCAGATAAACCTGCAGAGGAAGATGAGAATCACTGGTGTTATAACTCAAGGTGCCAAGAGAATCGGAAGCCCAGAATATATAAAATCATACAAAATTGCATATAGTAATGATGGGAAATTATGGGCAACATACAAAGTGAAAGGCACAACTGAAGATATGGTAAGTCATTGTCATCAGTATAAAAGCATTTTAAATAGCAATTTAGTGAAGGGATTTTACTGCCTTATAGCAGAAAGTGGGTTTATTGAGACTTTTTTCCTTGATAGATTTTATTCTGGGAAATACTGGAATAAATCAACATTATGCATTGAGTAAGACTTTCCTCTACTTTGATTGTTTTATAAATATAGCATTACAAGGCTATAATAATTCTGTTTCTTATATTTAAATGGTTTTCATTTTAATTAGCCAACCAGTAATTACTTGTCTGCTCTCCATTTAGTTTTGCTATGTTGGCAATTGGTTAACCCTCGAAAGGACAATATTCTTTCAGCAGCACCGCATACTACAAAATACTACAAAATACTACAAAAACTATTGCAGATACAATTTTAAAAAATTAAAAACCCTAAATGCAAAGTAGCCCGTTCCACGTAACTCTTAAGATGTATAGAAGGGCAGACACACAAATTATGTCTCAACACAATTTCTCTTCTCGTAAAAACATTTGGGGGAGTGATTTGGATTGGCGCTATCACAAAGGGGGAGAGGAGAGGGAGCAAGTCCTTCATCTCTGCAGCAAGGATACCTAATCCAGATTCCACTGCTCCAGTCCCCCAGAGCAGTGTTTCCCAACCTTTTTTGGGCAAAGGCACACTTGTTTCATGAAAAAAATCTCGAGGCACACCACCATTACAGCCCCGTGACGTCAGCGCGCAGCGTCACGCCGGGAGGGACGCACGAAAGTGTAAGTTTCAATTTTTTCCCCTCCCCCTTGCCTTCCTTCTGTGCCAACCGCCAAAAAGCCAAGAAAAAAGCCAAGACTTTAGGGCAGCAGGTCGACACGGAAGAAGCTCCTACCTAAGGACAGGTGCGACGGCCGTGTCCTCTTCTGCCACACTTGGCAGCCCTGCCTCACGGTCGTGACTCCCACCCTGATTTCTCCCCGCAGGTCGAGCGGCACAGGCAGCCCAATGTGTCCAGCCCAGACACAAGCCCCGCTTCCCCACTCTAGATCCTGAATGCGACCAAGTGCTCTGGACTCCCGAGCAGGGTGGGAAAGAGGACTCGCATCTGGTAGCCTCCGGGCTCCTCGCCTGCTCGAGGGATGGCATTGCAGGCAAGCTGCCGGCCGTCGCCATCGCCGCCCCCTCATGCAAGTGGACCTGCCCGGAGTGGTGGGCCGGGGGAGGCTCGCTCTCTGTGGGGATGTGGCCCGCACGCGCGGCCCCGCTTCCTCCTGCCCAGGGCTGAGCTCCTTACCCGCAATCTCGGTCTCGTGCACGCGGATCCCACTTATTCTGAAGCTCGCGCCACTAGCCGGGGCTCTCACACCGTGCCAGGGCGAGGCGGCGCGGCCCACTGACGTCATCGCGGCTCGCCGCCGCCCTCGACTTCCCTGTTCCCTCCCCTCCCTCGGGTCGCCGTGGTTACCGAGGACTGCAAGCTGCTCGGGCGAGCGTGGGGCATTAAGTGGGAGAAGGAAAATTAAAATTAAAACTCGCCTGAAGGCCGCCTCTCCGGATACAGTGGTGCCTCGCAAGACGAAATTAATTCGTTCCGCAAGTCTCTTCGTCTTGCGAGTTTTTCGTCTTGCGATGCACGGTTTCCCATAGGAATGCATTGAAAATCAATTAATGCGTTCCTAGGGAAACCGCCTTCAGATCAGGTCCGGGGACAGTCTGTCCCCCGACCTCTTCTGAAGGCTGAGGGGGGGGGGACAAGGGCTTTTCTTCCCGTCCCCAGCATTTTAAAAAACCCCGGGACAGCGGAGGACTTCTCCGCTGTCCGGGGTGATTTAAAAGCCCCTGGGAAGGCAGGCAGGGGGGACAAAGATTTTCGCCCCCCGCCCGCCTTCAGAAGAGGTCCTGGACCTCTTCTGAAGGCCGGCGGGGGTCAAAAGTCTTTGCTCCCCCCTGCCTGCCTTCCCGGGAGAGCAGAGAAAGGCAGCGCGTTTCTCCGCTGTCCCGGATGGCTTTTGAAGGCAGGCAGGGGGGAGCAAGGACTTTCGCCCCCCGCCCACCTTCAGAAGAGGTCCTTGACCTCTTCTGAAGGCGGGCGGGGGCGAAAGCCTTTGCTCCCCCCTGCCTGCCTTCCCGGGAGGGCGGAGAAAGGCAGCGCGTTTCTCCGCTGTCCCGGACGGCTTTTGAAGGCAGGCTTTTGAAAGCCGTCCGGGACAGCGGAGAAACCCAACGCGCCCTTCCCGCTGCCCCCCGACTTGGCTGGAAGGCTGGCGGGGGGAGAAGTCTGCTCCTCCCCATCGCCAGCCCTGCAAACTCGGGGGACAGCGGGAGAGGCGCAGCGCGCCATCCCGCTGTCTCCCGACATGGTTTGGAGGCTGGCGGAGGGCTTCCTCCTCCCCCAGCCCCGCAAGCTCCCAGAGCGATGCCAAAGCTGCGCGCAGCTTCGGCATGGCTCTGGGTCCCGTTCTGGGGGAGGGGGAAGCTCGGTGGGGGAATAATTTTTTTTCCCCTTTATTCCCCCCCCCCCCGCCAATTTTTCCCGCGGCACACCAGGCAACGTATCGCGGCACACTAGTGTGCCGCGGAACACCGGTTGGGAAACACTGCCCCAGAGCACTATTAGCGCTCCAAATATTGCCGATATGTTTTCCCCTCTATATTTTAATAGCAGATGTGGGGGTGGAGGAGCAATTTGGATCAGGGCCGTAGTGCAGGAGGAAAGGGTTGTACTCCCCTTGCACCATGGCCCACATCCAAATTTCTCCCCCATGTTTTAAAATTTAAAAAGTTTATTGGGATATCCATTCTCAAATGTCTCATGTCATGTGTAGTTTGAACCACAGAGGTATGTTACCCTCTGTGCCTGTAAAGGTTTCAGATCCTTAATATACTAAAATGATTCCCAGCCCTTCTTCAGGACCTTATCCAAACTAAACTACTGCTGCTAAAAGAGCTATTATTTCCCTGCCACACATTATCCCTACTCCAGTTCCACTATTTACCAATGGATGTGTGCACACAACTATTTACTGAGTGGAACTTACCAAGGTGGATACAGTGGTACCTCGGGTTACAGACGCTTCAGGTTACAGACTCCGCTAACCCAGAAATAGTACCTCGGGTTAAGAACTTTGCTTCAGGATGAGAACAGAAATTGTGCTCCGGTGGTGCGGCGGCAGCAGGAGGCCCCATTAGTTAAAGTGGTACCTCAGGTTTAGAACAGTTTCAGGTTAAGAACGGACCTCTAGAATGAATTTAGTTTTTTAACCCGAGGTACTACTGTATCTCTGCCAACCTAGCAGTTCGAAAGCACTCCCGGGTGCAAGTAGATAAATAGGGACCGCTTACTAGCGAGAAGGTAAACGGCGTTTCCGTGTGCGGCTCTGGCTCGCCAGAGCAGCGATGTCACGCTGGCCACGTGACCCGGAAGTGTCTCCGGACAGCGCTGGCCCCCGGCCTCTTGAGTGAGATGGACGCACAACCCCAGAGTCTGACAAGACTGGCCCGTACGGGCAGGGGTACCTTTACCTTTACCTTTTTACTACTGTATCTAAATATGCATGAAACTCCATCCATAATGTCCCACCAATTAGAAATCGAGGGAAACAAAGGAATGGTACAATTCTCACCACTACTTGGCAGGATATACCCTGCTTCCTTAATGGTAGGTTGCCTGTATTCACCCATCTTCAGTTGCATTTTGTTTTACTCCTGCCACATCCATCAAATGAGGACAGCAGACCTTCTGCTGACACTAAATAATTGTATGTAATCATGAACTTTATTGGCCCATATTGCCATTCAAATGCCTTTTACAATCTGTTGTGTTTTGTCATAGGTGTTCCGTGGGAACGTGGATAATAATACGCCTTACGCAAATTCTTTCACACCACCAATAAAATCTCAGTACATACGATTATATCCTCAGGTTTGTAGAAGGCATTGCACTTTGCGAATGGAACTTCTTGGCTGTGAATTATCAGGTATGTTCCTGCAATACTTATAATAACAACAAAGGTCACTTTAAGCAATACCTGAAAACATTATGAATTTATCTACAACTATGTACATACTTCAAATGCCAAATATGTTTGTTTATTTACTAGAATTAGCTGGTGCTGGAGATGTTTGCGTACACCTGAAATGGTAGCCTCTCCTTATCTACATCCCCTTCCCTCTTCTTTCTCTTCCCAAACCCCATAAATTTATATTTGATTACCATTTTGAAAGACACACACCTGGTTTTGAATTGTTTGTGTTTTACTGCTTTTAATAACTGGGTAACATAGAGAGATTTATCAGGTGCATCTTCTGATACTGCAGCACTTTGAAAACCACACCTGCCATGTCGGCATTTGCAGTCACAGAATTCTCTGTTGGGTCACGAGTCAGTAACTTCTACTTTATGCAGCTGATTGAGACTGTAGGCTATAAGAAACTTGAGGCTTGCAAGAGTTTTCTAACTGCATTTCCAGAACTTTCCAGGTGAAATTAGGTCTGCTGCTGAGCCTGGTTGCATTTGATGAGATTTGATTTGATTTTGTTTTGTTGCTTTCGAACAGAATCCTTCATTGTGCCTTGTAGCAGAAGTAAATGAACTAGTGGAGCCAATATCAACCCTTTCAAAGTTTTTTGTGTGGAAGGGTCACAGCACAAAAATGTAAAGCCTGACCCAGCTCCTTTTTGCACAAAAGCTTCATTCCCTTGCAGATTCAATGAAACACATAAAACTCTCCGTTTTTTTGTCAAAGTACAAGCATTATTTTCATATGGCAACTGCTACAGTAAATTTGTTTGGAGATTATTTTTATATGACTGCCTTCTTACTGTACAAACAGCCAGCCAGGGCACTAGTAATATATCAAAGCAGCCCGTGTTACATAATTCCTGGTCCTCGAGTGACAACAAAACCAAGTTCCAAAATGAAAAGTTAATGCATTAATCTCACTGTGGCCCTCTTCCAATACAGATAGATTCGAAAGTAAATAGAAAATTGTGTCCAGGTGCCTTGGTGTATTAGATTTTCTTCTTGTGGCGTCTCCCATCCATAGGAGCACAATTTAGAATAAGTCCTTGCCAGAATGACTAGGAATTGCTTTGCTCAAAGAACTGTGAAAGCTTCTAAGTGAATCCATTTCAGGGGCCTCATCTTGTTTCAAGGTCATTATACCTCTGAACTGTCATGGTGCTCAGGCTCTCTAGAACAATTGCTGGAACATAAGTACAATTATGCTTAAGGATAAATGAATGTTCTTTAGCTTCTGGTGATCTAACTTTGTTTGAGATGAAACGCAATAGAGTGTCTCAGTTCATAATAGGGCCTCTTTATTTACTTACTAAAGTTATTTCCTGTCTAAATTTATATCCTGCAAAGGTGCTCAACACAGCTAAGGAAAATAAGATCAATGGGAATTTTAAAAACTTTTACATCCTATTGATTTCCATGGAACAAATTCTACATGGCAGTTAACTTGTAGTTTTGATTGTAAATATATATAGCAAGGAGCTATGGCCATTTCTGGCTTCCTAGTATATACATTTTCCCTTATCACTATATAACTCTTTGAAAGCACAATTTAAGACATACTTTTACAGACATGCATGTAAGAGGTTTAAGGTGTACACCCACAAGCATAATATATCAAGTATTCCTCAAGAGTTCTTTACTTTGACAGAAACCTTCTCCCTGCAATTAGCTTACATTTAAATTGATTTGGTTAACTATATTCGATTTATTTCTTTAATCATATTTTAAATTCATGGGCTGTTTTCTGCTACATTGTCTTCAAACAATTTACAGTAAAAAAATAAGTAAAATCATAAATCATGAAACTTCATAAATATTTAAGAAATATTATTCTGAAAACTATAGCAGTTCAGCACTGACATTTCCAAATCAACTACCAAGATAAGCTACTCAAAGAATTGGTGACGCCTTGCAGAACAAGTATGAACAAGCTGTCTGATCCATTTCAGGGGATCAGGTCTAGTGGACCCTTCTTGGAAGGAATACCACAGCAGACTTGGTATCATAAAAATGCTGTAAATATTTCTTGTAAAGGACTTGCATCAAACCCATCTGAATGTACAGGAAAATTAAAAATCAGTCTGGAAAGCATCTGGAAGCTTATTTAAATAGAAACACAATAAGTTTCCATGCTGAAGCCGTTTTCAGAAGCACTTCTCTAAAAATTGTAATAATTTGTCAGCTAGAAGTAGGGCCAAGCCCAGTAGTTCTGCCCTTGCCATCACAAAGGCTTCCCTGTTGCAGGCATTCAAGCTGTATGTGCAGTCACCAAGGGTCAGGCAAGCCAGAGGGATTGTTGTCAGAGGCAAGGTTAGTTGGTGTGGCCCCACGAATCTGATAGTATAATCTGTGAGTGGTACATCTGAAGGGTGCTTGGTAAAGGTAAAGGGACCCCTAACCATTAGGTCCAGTCGTGACTGACTCTGGGGTTGCGGCACTCATCTTGCTTTATTGGCCGAGGGAGCCGGTGTATAGCTTCCGGGTCATGTGGCCAGCATGACTAAGCCGCTTCTGGCGAACCAGAGCAGTGCACGGAAATGCCGTTTACCTTCCCGCCGGAGCGGTACCTATTTATCTACTTGCACTTTGACGTGCTTTCAAACTGCTAGGTTGGCAGGAGCAGGGACCGAGCAACAGGAGCTCACCCCGTCGCAGGGATTCGAACCGCTGGCCTTCTGATTGGCAAGTCCTAGGCTCTGAGGTTTAACCCACAATGCTTGAGTCAGACTAAATAGCTCAAGCTAAGGTGGGTTGTGGGGGCAATGACACAGTCAACATTCAGTGTGTCATATCTTCCCCTTGGAGCGAACGTCTTGAAATGTGGACTCACCAATGTGTTGTAGGACCTGGGAGACCAGGAATCAAATTCCCTCCTGGTTGTTATTATTATTATTATTATTATTATTATTGATTCTATTTCTATGCTGCTTTTTATTCAAATAAATCCCAAAGCTGCTTACAAACAAAAGATAAAAATAACAGAATGGAACATCACAAATACAGCATAAACTGTATAGAGTACTTAACAAATCATCAGTAAAATAATCCCAAATAAAACAATTACCATCTATGTAACACTATTAACAACAATAACAACAAAGCTAAACATCAGTTACACCAAAAACCATATTACAGGATTCACATTGGCCATGCAGATTATGAAGCTTCATTAGTGACCTTGGGTCTAAACCAGGGGTAGTCAACTTTTTTATACCTACCACCCACTAGTGCATCTTTCTTAATGGTAAAATTTCCTTACCGCCCACCAGTGCTCAATGGAAGGAGGATTCAGCTTGTGCCGTAGAACCCTCTACCCCCCACCTAGAATCCTGAAATGCCCACTAGTGAGCAGTATGGACCAGGTTGACAACCCCTGGTCTAAACTGTTTCACATGGTTGTTGTCAGTGATTTGTTCTTTTTAAAAAATGTTTAGGGGTACTCTCAATTTCCTACTCATACTGAAATACTGCCCCTCAATGAGGCCAAACTTAGATTCACAAAATGTTCAGGGGTATGCATACCCCTGTGTTCCCCCAGAAAAAAGCACTGGTTGTTGTGAATGTATGTCAGGTGTGCACGCAGGAGCCAGGCCCTGAGACCAATAGGACTTTGCAGGACTGGGGCCTTCCTAAGTTTGTTCTGAAGAGACAAGGCGCGGCCTTACAGGTAAGGCCGATTGGTAACTCACAGCACCTGGTGGCAAGAGCTAGGAAGGGATATAAGGTCAGCATTTCCCTTTGGCTCTTTGCCACAGCAACATGCTCCCTGCCTTGCTGCGTTTGGCTTCTTGCTTCCTGATCCTTGAACCTCGGCTTCTTGACTCCCTGCTTCTTGATCCTCAGACCCCTGACTTCGTGCCTCCTTGCTTCCTGACCCTCAGACCGTAGGCTTCTTGACTCCCAGCTCTCTGACCCTCGGACTCTTGACTTCTTGACTCCTGGCTTCTGGACTTCCGTTCCTGCTCCCACTCCGCCATCTTGCCCCTGGTCCTCACGTTCCCTGCCGGGACTTTGATCGCCGGACCATGACAATATAACATTAAAAGAGTTGGGGGGGTGTATGCCACCTTGAGCTCACTAGAAGGAAGATGGGATATAAATGTAACATTAAATGAAGAGACATACAAAAAACAACCACCAGAGAGCAGAATTACTGAGAAGAACCAGGCAAGCACTTAAATCAAGGCTTCTGTCAGAGTATTGCAGTCCCCTCATCCCTGTCCGTAGGCCATGCAGTCTGGAGCTCATTGAAGCTGGAGGCCAGCAACTTCATAGCTGGCATCAGGTTCAGTAAAATGCCATTTGTATGTCAGAATAAGATACCATTTACTGGTGTGGGACAGTTGAAGCAATTAAATGATATTTCCTTATATCCCATGCCATTGCAATATAAACCCCAAGTATGGAGCTGCAGTCAAAATATAGTCCTAAAAAAAAAGAAAGTTCAATTAAGTTTCCTTTACCATTTCAGCTTGGCTTCATAGTCACTTAAATTGTAGGTGGTGTAGGAGTTTCAGCATTTTAAATTCACATATTACTGTCTGTATATATCACTGCTAACATTTTAGTCTCAGTCTGTCTCAGAATGCCTCAGCTTTTTTTTTTTTTAATCTGGAGAAATGCTAAAAATGAAATGCAGTTCCCAAGGAGAAATGCCCTTGAAAATCAATAGCAGTCCTTAGAAAACCTACAAATAACAGACTTCAGAAATACAAAAAGATGTTGCTTCACCACTCACATCCTGTGGGGAAAGCAAGTATAGGGTGGGGGAAGAGATGCCATAAAATGGGGGCATATTAGGCTATAGACACAATAGTGGCTTAAAACACAGGTAGGCCTTTCCCCCTGCTGTGTTGCAGGCTGTGTTTGCATGCTGTTATACACACCACAGACGGGGCAGGGGTGTCTTCATCTGATGCACATTACCTGCTTTGTTTCCATGCCCCAGCACCACACATTCATGAAGCGTCACCAATGGCTGTCTCAAATGTGCACACCTCAGCTCAACTTCAAAGTGAATGTGGCTTTGAAGATTGAAGCTAGTTTGAGGGGATACTAATCAAACAGCAGTATGTCTCAATAAACTACAAGATAGCTCAGCATTGTGGGTAACATTGTATGCACACAGTTTCAAAAGCCAGAGGTGGGAGGGCACTAGAGCCCAGAGTAAGTGGTGATGTGTACACAGCCATCCAAGCAGTGACTCATTTGCGTGTTCACACCCAGAAACCTCCCCCCTAAATAAATTCACACTTGACTCAAATTTTTGGTTTGATTTTTGGCAAAATTTAGGCCACAACTTTAATGATTACAGAAAGTGACTGGTTGCATAGGCTCTGGTTCGACTAGCTCCCTGCCATGCAGGTAGGGCTGACCCATGGTTCCAGCCTAGGTCAACCAAGGCTGAACACCTGGATAAGCGGAAAGCCGGGAATGGGCTAACTCCACAACCCAAATGTTCCCCTGGAATCAGGCATGGGCATAACCCCCTCACAGGGGTTGACCAAACCAACGAGTCCCTGGATTCCTTTAACGGAATACCCTATACATAGGGATGGTGAGAGGGTTCTCCCATCCCTATCACCTGACCCAGAGCCTATCTGCAACCTTACAAGTTGTGGCAATTTGCTACATGGCAGGTGAAACCCAAATGGCAACAGCCAATCAACCAAGTGGGGAAAATTCCTGCTGTGCCCCTGTCCCAATGACAGACGACACACAATGGCATAGCAAGGTCAAGAGTGACAAGCACTAAAAGTAGGGAGAGGTGGACGGGTGTTCCGAATGCACGCGCTGAAAGAGGAAGCTCTAGGTCACGTACATGGCCATAAATAGGTCCCTCAAACTGTTTGAACTGCGTCCCATTGGCCAGATTGTACCCAGCTTTGAGGGATCTACCAATCGGGTGTTGTGGCTTACCAGTTGTACCCACCCACAATGCAGGGTGTCGGTTGTCCAGGTCTCACCGCAATACGTGCCATTTTTAAGTGAGGACCCGATTTCCCAGCAATAGATCAAATCAGAATTTTGACAAGTCAGTCAGAGTTTTGACAAACCCAAGGGTCATTGATAAGGAACCAAAGAATTGAGTGTTGCTCAGCATTAAAACAGGGATTGCAAGAAATGGTGGCTGATAATCCACAGGAACAGGCCTTATACTTGCTTAGATCAACAAGTAATCGATGGTCTACCTGGTCTACAACTCCCATCATCCTTGACGATTTCCCACCCTGGCTGGAACTGAGACCAGCTAGAGTCCAACTATGTAGGACTGCAGATTTTCCATCCCTGGCTTATCAAAGTTGTCTACCCAGTTTAAAAATCTTTCAATTAACCAATAAATTAAATAGAACAGATAGGGATTGGAAAGTATCAGCTTAACCATTCTGACCTATTACTGATTGCTGCCAGCTTCCTTGACTGGTATGCCCATTTCCCGTGCAAGGTTCTATCAAACTAATCTGATGCATGAAAAGAATTTTGATTCAGTTCTGCTTGCTCCAAATCTCCAGAGCATAAAGTACAACAGTGTAATGTTTATAGTTAGTATGTGTTTCAGCTCTTGGATCTTCAGATGATGGGTAGAATATAAATATTTGAAATAAGTAACAGCTGCAGTTAATTTTATTATCACCATATCAAAAACTATAATACAATACATAAACACATAATCTAGTATGTATTAAAAACAGCTTCCTGTTGTAGAACGTTAGAATTGCATACGTATATTTGTTTGTTCATATTTTATCATTTGCATTTGTCAGTTGTCAGATATCACAAGTTACTTAGGTTACATAAAACACATATAAAACAGAGCATACAAGAATGAAAACATAAAACCATAAAATCCCACCACTTCTGGCCCCAACTAATTACAGCTGTGCACTAAGAAACAGGACAGTGCGCACAACCATGTTTGGTTGATGCATAATGCAAGACTCTGAATTTCAAGTTTTAAAAAAAAAGGTATCAAGAGATAAAAACTGGAGCAACAAATCCTTGGGTTCCGTTAGAGTGTTTTATAAAGGCATTAAAAGAAGTCAGTTCTATAGTGATCATCACACTGTGCTATCATTCCACTAGAGGTCTCCAACTAGTGGTCAGGTCAAGGTCAGATCAAGATGCAAAAACCTTCAAAGAACACCTGCTTGCAGAGGGAGACATGATAGTGAGTTGGCAAGACTGCTTTAACAGATGACTCCCTGTGGCTTTCTTTCTTTTGGTATAATATCTATAATCTGCACAATCCTGTTGAAAAATGCCATTTCTAACTAAATATACGTGAACAAAAGTTTAGATGCTTTGAGAAAAATAGAGGCATGGGATTTATGAAAGAATGCAGAGTGGTATAAGTACAGTACACTGGAAAATAACTTTTCCTTAATGGGTAGGTAGCATGGCAAAAGAGTACAGTATCATGGTGACAGATGAATACCCATAGTAGATAAATATAACTTGCTTTATTTTCCAGATTTTGACATTAGAATGGGGAGGCTGTAAATCTGTTAAATCATTTGCTGATGGATACTAATACTGTTCATCAACTAACAAATTAATGGAAAATTTAATATAGCACTGCAGTATGAACTATGACTACTGGCTGACAATTGCCTTGGCTAAGTGGTTTAGACAAGCTGTTTGCTATTTATACAATCTGAAATTAATTCTTCATATCCAGTCATTTCCAGGGATGCCTTGGAATGCCACCAAATTCTGCCTAAAGCAAAAAGCTAAACATACAACCACTTTACCATTTTATAATGTGTATGTAAAAAAAATAAAGTTTTCAAATGTGCTTTCAAATGCTCTTAAGTAGTATTTACCCATGCATTGTTGAACTACAGTTTTAAATGATTGTTAAGGTTTCCAAATTGCTGACAGTAAGATTTGTACACTTTGAATAAATATGTATAAGAGAAGCAACATCTGGATTTATAAACTGCCTAAATAGATATCCTCAAAATAACTTATTTAAATTCTGTAGGTTGCTCTGAACCTCTGGGGATGAAATCAGGACATATACAGGATTATCAGATTACTGCTTCCAGTGTCTTCAGAACACTCAATATGGATATGTTTACATGGGAACCTAGAAAAGCTCGTCTGGACAAACAAGGCAAAGTGAATGCCTGGACATCGGGGCATAGTGACCAGTCGCAGTGGCTGCAGGTAAATAATTTGTAGTAATTATTGGGATCCATTTTTCTAAATAATATTTTTATAGAAGGACAAATGCTATAATGTATGAATGGGTTGGCTGTACTGAGTGAATAAGACTGCAAAGGCATATCTGAGTGTGTGGCATAGCTGTCAACTTACAGATTTGAAAATAAGGGACCAGCAGCCAAAATAAGGGACCTGCAGCCTCACCTGGTCTGGTCAAACTCATGCTGGGTAGCTTCGAGAACACTGTCCAACCAACTTTGTAACCAGATGTTCAACTAAATAGAATCTGAATCACATGTACCACAAGGCTTATGCAGCCTCAACTTAGAATGGCTCCCCGGCCTGGCTTTGCACTGCAAAGTTTGCAGCAGCACGTGCAGCAAAATGGCGTCCAGCATTCAAAAAACCACTCAGCTTGCATTAACTAGCCACACACAAGGCATGCAAGCTCCACCCCCCAGTCATTCTTAGACTTCTTATTGGGTGAGCAACACAACCAAGCAACACAGTTGGAGCCTCCCTCCTCCCTGGCCGGCAGGGAGGGAGGGAGAGGAGCTGCTTCCTTTGAAATGTAAGGGACATCATTTAAGGGACATTTAGGGACATCCATCAATAAGGGACAGCAGCAGGACATGGTCTGGAATAAGGGACTGTCCCTTCAAATAAGGGACACTTGACAGCTATGGTGTGTGGTCCTTTAATTCATTATATTTTTGATTTGATTGATTGTGGTTCAATAGATGCAAATGGGCAAGTGGAAATATAACAGACAGGACACCTAGAAAACCATGTTATGATGTGTCTGTTGACTCTCCCCACAGAGTGATAGGATCAATCCAGAAATTGCTGAAATACAGTTTAATGGATGGAATATCAAGAAGCATGAGCCCAACAATCTATAGGGAGTAATTGAATTCCTTTTATCAAAATCACAGAATCCCTTTAGATACAAGACCATGTGAACTTCTGTCATAAAGACATGACCAGTGCTTTTATGCATTTGAACATTAAACTCCAAGTTTCAAATTTGTCTCAGAGGGTTTAAATGACATAAATTGCTGATACGGATTCTACACAATAATTCTTTGAACATCCACATATACGCAACACAAGCTGAGGTACTAGTGGGAACAAATCTTTTTAAATCCAGGTACTTATGCCTAACTTCATTATAGTTCATGCTGTTAGAAGAATCTTTCAAGTGAACTGAATCTTTGAACAGACAATCTTTAAATCCCAGCTGGAAAGGTTTTATATGTGATTGGTTGGCTGTGTCGTGTCTGTGCTACAGCAATGGAAGAAAAGTGGCTGATTTTAATTGAATATTTTTAGATCAAATTTACAAAATCAGATTCACTGAACCATATTAAATCATTCAGTTGGAAATTCTCCAAAGCCATAGAATTGCAATTGATTATTTGTCAAAGCAAATGAACGTTTGAATTTGATTAATGAATTCTGAAAAAAGCATTATTTCTCCCATCTCCTGGTGTTTCGGGTTTTGGTGGAGGAGGTTTTTGGTTTTTGAGGGGGACGGGTGGCTGCAAAAAATGCATTAGACTACTACTCCAAAATTTGCCTTCCTCTTAACGTATTTGGCTCTAGTAAGATTGATTCTGCACTATAAATTCATTAAGAAGCTGTACACATTGCTTGTTTTCAGCATTGGGGTGATTTACAAAAGTTCTTCGGAAGGCTAATATGCAAAAGAGCAACAAATCACCAAGCAGAAGACTATTTGACCAGTCACTGCTCAATTTACATATTAGAAACATTGTAGATTGCATTGTTTTGAAACCGCTGCCAGGGGAGAATGGAATTCTCAGCATGAACCCTTAACTGCGCCAGAAGTGTGCTACTAGCCTCCTGCAATCTTTTCACATATAAATTATAACTTATTAGCTTTTCCTTCTTCAATTTCTTTACCTGCTGTTGCTAAGCAATTCAACAGAGCGATAAACATCTTTGCTCTGAACTCACACATGGAGGGGGAGGGGGACAGACAGAACTTGTAGAACTTCCATGTCTATTTATTATCTTGGTAATTTAAGATGGGTATATTTAGTCAAGTCATTAATGCACTGTGATATCCCAAGCCATAGCAAAGAGGAATATGGATCTGCTACATGGAACATGCTGCTAGCTCAACTATATAAGCAAGCCAGTGAGGAAAGCAATAAGGCACTATGACTGGGAAGAAGTCAGGGTCACCAAGCCATCCCTCAAATCACCAGGAGGTGCCCACATTACAGAACTCTCACTCTGCTTTATAAAACTTCTGCTATTTGGGAAGGCACTTGATAGAGCAGGTCAAGGATCCTTTTTCAGCTGAGGGGCACATTCCTTTCCGAGGAAGCTTTAGAGGGCCACATAGCAGTGGTGAGTAAAGCCAGAAGCAAAAGTGTGTGAAACAAGGAATGTAAAGTTTATATTTTTACTGTAGGCTAGTTTGTACACACACTTGCATACCACTCTCTAGACAAGCAGGGTGCATTATCAGAGTTCCAGTATATATTTCAGCTGGGTAATAACAGTCAGAGTGTAAAGCAGGCAGTGAGAGGTGTGGCCTGGGGAGAGGAAGCCAGATAGAGGGCTGATGGGCTGCATTATGTTCCCAGAACTGAGCCTTTCCACTTGTGGTACAGAGAAAGGAGAGGATTGGTGTGGGGATTCCGTGCTTCCGACCTGGAAGAGCACAGGAAATAGCTTGAATTCAGACACGGGTGCACATGCTCCAGCCCACCGAGAGGTCTCTCAGGGAGTGGACCGGCCTGGCCTCAAAAAATGTTGCCGGCCCCTGATCTAGGCTAACATAAGAAGGTGCCCCCTAGCACGGACACCAGAAAAGCTTTTTAGAGGTAGAGATGGGAAGGAAATTTGATTCAGTTCACTTTTAATTACCTAATTTGTGAACCAAAACACAACCATCATTCGAAATTCTGTCCTGGCAGTTCTACAAGCAAGTAACGTGCACAAAAATGCATACATTAGTGTATGGTGTGTGTATAATTTCATATCTTAGTGAAATAACATACAGATATGTTATTTCTCCCACTGCGTTTCCGAGCACAATTCAAAGTGTTGCTGCTGACCTTTAAAGCCCTAAATGGCCTCGGTCCAGTATACCCGAAGGAGCGTCTCCACCCCCATCGTTCTGCCCGGACACTGATGTCCACCTCCGAGGGCCTTCTGGTGGCTCCCTCCATGCGACAAGTGAGGCTACAGGGAACCAGGCAGAAGGCCTTCTCAGTAGTGGTGCCTGTCCTGTGGAACGCTCTCCCATCAGATATCAAGGAAATAAACAACTACCTGACTTTTAGAAGACATCTGAAGGCAGTCCTGTTTAGGGAACTTTTTAATGTTTGAAGTCTTATTCTGCTTTTAATGTTCTGTTGAAAGCTGCCCAGAATGGCTGGGGATACCCAGCCAGATGGGCAGGGTAGAAATAAATTATCATCATCATCATCATCATTATCATCATCATTATAGATGGATTCTTTAAAGGAAAAGTGCTTTTCAGAAATGTGTATGTTAGGCAAAACTGCATACAAATATGTATATATTAAGAGAAATTCATACGAACATGCTGGTGAATTTCCAAGAAGATTTTAAAAAGAAGTTTCTTGCCCCTAGGATCTCTTGTTAAAATTTAAGGATCTGTTTGTTTTTATTGCATTCTATAAAGAACCTTTGTAAACCTCTTCAGAGTCTTGGGGAAGGATTCATGCCAATCCAAAATCCTTTCTGGTGTAGGAGGGGAGGAAGAGCAGCATCTATTTCCAGACTAAGGTAGGAGGTAGGAGCCAAGGGATACAGCTCCTCCCTTTGCCTGACACAGACTCTCTCTCTCTCTCTCTCTCTCTCTCTCTCTCTCTCTCACACACACACACACACACACACACAGAGAGAGAGAGAGAGAGAGAGAGAGAGAGAGAAATTGGATGGCAAATGAGAAAGTAGGAAATGCATGCAGACAGGCCGCTTTTCTGTCTCCTGCTGATCTCAAAAAACCAAATTCATTCGGGGACAATGTGGTATTACTTTGAGGTACATTATTCCACTGCTGGCGACAATGAATCTGTGGTTGTATGCAGATGGGCAGGGAATTAGGGAAGTGAGGAGGCGAGGCAATGACAGCCCTTATTATTTTCTCTAACAATTTATGTTATGTTCCAAACGCTTTCTTCTGTTGTACCTGATTGAGTATACAAATTGATTCATTCTGCATCCAGGTGGCTGCTGGCAGATTTTCTGTCAGTCTGAGAAGAGTAATGCCTGTTTCCCCCCCACCCCCTCTTCAAACTATACAAAAACCCTGTAAGGCAAGTTATGGTTTCTGAAGAGAAATTATTCCCATTTGACACACACACACACACACACACACACAGAGAGAGAGAGAGAGAGAGAGAGAGAGAGAGCGCGCCAAGGATAATGAGGGCAAAAAATTATTTGGCAATGTAATTTTAATGTCAGAAGGTGGAGGTAACAGCTACAGCAAATGTGTGCCTACGACAAACACTACAGAAGGCAAATACGTCCTGTCACAAGGAAGTGTGAAATGGACCAAATGAAAGGACTGAAGGAATTATACTTTTGCCATTAATATGATACTAGTTGCATTGTACCTGTGCTTTGCATTTCTGAATACATTCCATCTCAGCGTTTATGGATGACACCCACTGATGTCTGTGTACTTCTGTAACAAAAATCTACTTTCACAACTGTACTTCCAGTTTCTTCCCCTGCCCTCTGCAGCCCCTGTGTGCATATGCTGGAAATATGCATCCAAGATTATTCCCAGACATCTCAATTTTTATGGGATGATGATGATAATAACAATAACAACAACAACAACAACAACAACAACAACAACAACAACAACAACAACCACCACCTGCCCATCTGGCTGGGTTTCCCCAACCACTCTGGGCAGCTTCCAACAAAATATTAAAATATAATAGTCTGTTAAACATTAAAAACTTTCCTAAACAGGGCTGCCTTCA